ATTATGTTACTAGCAGGATAAACTTTAATAGTTTATGCAGATTTAGTGGTTGATCATGTTCTTTTATGAACATATAGTTTTTGTTTTTTAAAGTATGCAGACCGTTTGGGCTAAGCATGGCACAAACAAAAATTTAATGATCAGGTCACCTTAGGTTCCATGGCTGTAGCTTGCCCTGAGTTATTCTGTATGTATCTGTAGAAGTTTTTACAGCTTGTAGCCATTTTCAGTTTTGTGATATTTAATTTACATGCCAGTATCCGATCTGTCCATCTCTTTTGTTTAGAAGTTGAAGGCTAGCAGCAGCAGTCTCTAACTTAGATGGCATGAAGTTTAATGTGTCCAATGTTTGGTGTTTCTGAATTTTTAATTTGCTACATATTACATCTTTCATTATTTTTTATGAAATACTCATTTTTGTGGTAGTAGTGTTTATCGTCAATTCTTGTTGATGCCATATCCTATTTCATCAGGGAAGTAAAATTCTTGATAGTGCATAGTGTTAAGATGTGCATAGAACTTAGAAGGAAGTTCTAATGTTTGTGCAACCTCACTTGACAATCCTGATTAATGTTGCAACACTTAATTAAATTATTTGGTTATCCTGGTTATATGGGAGAGGTTATCCTTGAACCTGGGACCATTTATTTGTGGGAGAATTTTAGGATTTGACACCTAGTGTTTCACTTACATGTGGCCGTTATAACCCTGTGTCAATGAGACATCGTGTGCATATCTTGTGGTTCCGAAGAATAGAATGTCAGAATCTGTCATGGGCAATGTCAGGCTTATCTTATGTTATCTCCTAGTAATATACGTGAACAAGAAAACATGTTTCTAGAACCTTTAGGTCACAATGCTAGCGCCTGGATGTCCGGACGAACGGGGCGTTCGAACACCCATGTCTGCACCCATTTCCTACACCCACATTGGGCCCACGTAGTCCAAAACGTCACCAGCATCGAGGAAGAGGGGGAGGGGGCGGCGGATGCCCAGCTGACGCTGGGAGAAGGAGGAGACACCACGGAAGGCAGCAGAAAGCGAGGAAAGAGATACAACATCCGATCTACTTTTAAAACATCCAGATGTAACAATTGCAACATACGTTTAAAGGGGGATGAAATACTTAAGACATGCATCTGAAACACTTGCAAAAATATATGAAAAACACTTAAAAACCATTGTAAAACATACGCAAACATCCAAATAAAACACTTGCAACATATGCGTGAAACATATGCAACATCCAAATAAACACACTTATAACATACGTCTGGAAAAAACACAGATGAAACATTGGGAACATAAGCTTGCAACATTCGTGTACAACTATTGCAATATGTGCAACATTCCGATCCACTTTTGCAACATCCGCATGAAACACCCGCAACATATCTCTGAAACATCTGAAAACTTGAAACATAAGCTTGCAATATGCGCTTTTAGCACAATATTTCTATTTTGGAATGGAGGCTCGTCGGTGCATGGAGTTCACCGGTAGAGAGCTCGCCGGTTCGATAGAGAAGGCCGCGACATGTTCGGTGGAGAAGGCCGTTGCGGATCCACACACTATAGAAGGCCACGGTGGATTACCAACTCCACGCCATAGCCACCCTTGCCTCCCCTCCCGAGTGGTGGCACGAGTGTCCGTCGCCGTGCTCATCTCCCAAGCGCCGCTCACCCCGCTAGCACGCGGGTCTCCGGAGCCACCGTTTCCTCCCATGCACGAGGGCCTCGGAACTGCCGTCGCCTTACTTGCGCGCCGGCAACCGGTAGCCAGGAGCGGGAAGCGCAGTGGTCATCAGAGATGTAGGCCGCAAGAGCGTCGAAGGGCCACACGCCAGTAGTCGGACGCTAGTGAAAGGATCAAGATGCCCAAGAGGGGGTGAATTGGGCTAATTCTAAATTTTTGCAATAATTAAGCCCTACACTTAGCCCACTTCACCCCTTGTGTCTAGAATGTGTTGCTATTGTTCTCCTGCACAAAAGTTTTGCATCCTAGGTTCCAATTCTACTATAGCATGGCAATTCTAGGAATGTAAAGACATAAAATGAATTGCGCAAATGTAGATGCTCAAAGTAAAGAGAGGGAAAGGAACGCGGCGATGTTTTCCCGAGGTATCAGAGAGTCGCCACTTCCCACTAGTCCTCGTTGGAGCATCCGCGTAAGGGTGTAGCTCCCCCTTGATCCACGCAAGGATCAAGTGCTCTCTACGGACTAATTCTTTGACACTCTATCACGGTGAATCGTCCACAACCGCTCACAACTTGACTTGGGTCATCCACAAGCTCCGCTGGATGATCACTAAGCTCTCAATCACCACCGAGCCATCTAGGTGATGGCGATCACCAAGAGTAACAAGCACAAACTCTCACTTGACCAAGACAAGCCTAATGAGAAGGGTGGATGCACACTTGCTACTCCCTATGCACTAATGAGGTCCTTAATCTTTGATTATCAAATCTCAATAAACCCACTAGGCTTTTGCTCTCCCTTGCACTCTAAAGGTGTTTCTCAGCTGAACAAATGGGCAAGAGACCTCCCATAGACGACTGGAGTAAGTATTTATACCCCCTCATTCAAAACATAACGTTTGGAGGTTGAGTCAGCATTCTGTGGGTTGATCGGACGCTCCGGTCAGTGTGACAAGACGCTTCAGTCAGTTATACCAGCTACTGTGTCAGAGACAGCCGTTAAGCTCTGATTGGACTCTGACCAGCGTCTGGTCAGCACTGACCGGACGCGTCCGGTTATCAAAACCCCTCTCTGAAACCTTACTTATGTTGACCGGACGCTGGCACCCATAGTCTGTTCACTTCACTGTTCAGCATCCGGTCAGGTACCGGATTTTGATTAGCGTCCGGTCAGCGCCCACCGAACGTGTCCGGTCACGAAAAAGCCTCTCCAGAACGTCTCTGGAGTTGATCGGATGCTGGCACCCAGAGTCCAGTCACTTTACTGTTTAGCGTCCGATCAGTACCAGATGACTACAGTTGACCAAATGAACTGACCGGACTCACCCTCCAGCGTCCGGTCACAACCAGACCAGCATCCGGTCAGTCATTTGACCCTCCATTCACTTTCAACTCAAAATCCTATGTGAATAAAGTTGACTCCAATTGATTTTAGGGCTATTCCTGAGCTACCTAGTGCTAGGTTTGACAAGTGTACACCACACCTAACCTACTAGACTCACCTTGGTCAAGCTACTAGTCCATATCTCCCTTAATAGTACAGCCAAAGGAAAAACAAAGTCCTAAACTACTCTAAGTGTCTCTCCAACACCAAGTAATACTTAGAACTAGTCAGTCCTTAACCTTGTCGTCCATCCTTTAAAAACCGAAACGATTTCCATCGACAGGGGTATGACAACCATGATTGTCCAATCAATTTCCATTACCATGACCTAACTAAAATTGCCTCTGCAAAATACACGTTAGTAATAGTAATCTCGTATCGTCATTAATCACCAAAACCCAACTAGGAGCCTAGATGCTTTCAGCCAGAAGCGCCACAGTGGTTGCCTGAGGGCGGCCGCTAGATCCCTGACGCCACGACGCTAGGGAACGGAGATGCGCTGTCGTGCATGAGGTGGTTGTCATTGCCTCTGCGGCTGCATCGCTGACCCCACGCCACTGCCTCCGAATCTCTGATTCGCCATAGCAGCTACTCCGGTGAGCAGGGTTAGCATCTTGCCCACCTCTTTTTTTAGCAGAATCTCGCACACCTCCTGGCTCGGTGAATAATGGATGAGGCGCTCGCTTGAATAGATAAGGCCACACCGACCACCACCTCAGCCTATTTTTTTAGAGGTGGTAGCCTCCATGCCACCGGCGAGCTCTACACCGATGAACTCCATGCGCTGACGAGCCTCCATTCCGAAACAAAAATATTGCGCTAAAAGTGAATGTTGCAAGCTTATGTTTTAAGTTTTTCAGATATTTCAGATGTATGTTGCATGCGGATGTTGTAAAAGTAGATCAGAATATTGCACATGTTGTAATAATTGTACACGTATGTTGCAAGCTTATGTTCCTAATATTTCATCTGTGTTTTTTTCCAGACATATGTTATAAGTGTGTTTATTTGTATGTTGCATGTTGCAAGTGTTTTATCTGGATGTTGCACATATTTTACAATGGGGTTTAAGTGTTTTTCATGTGTTTTTGCAAATATTTCAAATGTATATTTCAAGTATTTCATCCCCTTCAGACATACGTTGCAATTGTTACATTTGGATGTTTTAAAAGTAAATCGGATGTTGTATCTCCTTACTCGCTTTCTATTGCCTTCCTCGGTGTCTCCTCCTCCTCCCAATGCCGACTGGGCATCTGCCGCCCTCTCCCCCTCTTTCTCAATGTTGGTGATGTTTAGGACAGCGTGGGCCCCACGTGGGCGCGGGAAACGGTTGCAGGCGCATGCGTCCGGATGCCCCGTCCGTTCGGATGTCCGAGCGCTAGCAAGCCCTTTTTTTAGATATTATTTTTTTTATATATCGATATAATGTATATCTAAGTGTATAGTAAAAGCTATATATAAAAAAACAAAACATTTTATAATTTAAAATGAGTATATATCGAGGAAAAGGTAGCTAAAATAAAAGATGGGCGATTTGACACCAATGACTTTTAAATTAAACATAAGAGTACATCGAAAACCATCGTTTGCCGTTGGAACTTGAAAAGTGTGGTCGAAAATATGAAGAGATATTTTTAATTCATTCGTTCGTTTATAAAGTGTGGTCGAAATTATGAAGAGATCATTCGTTCGTTTATAGTAGTATAAGTCTAGTAGAGGTAGAAGCACAAGCATAAGAGATATATTTACATTTACACCAAGAAAAACTTATATTTACATTTTGTTGTACTTGCGTTCTGAATTATCCAACCCCCTTCCTAAAAACCCTCTTCCTTTATAAACAAACACCCATTGCCCCCTTTCACCTGATCCAGTATAACAAACTGACAAACAAATAGAAGCAACAACGGCGGCCGCCACCATGGCGCCGTCCTCCTCATGCCACGCCGCCGCCACCGTCCTCCTGCTCACCGCCGCCACCCTAGCGTGTCATTTCAGTGTCCTCGTCGTAGCCACCGACGTCGAGTGCCACTGCCACGGTGATCACGTCTCTCCAAGTTACTACTGCCCAATGGTCTCTGTTGTTCCCCGGCAAGTGTCTTTGTTTGATCTGTGCCGCGTTGCGTTGCGTCGTCCATGCATGCAGGCGCGAACGGGTGCCGCGGCCTCGGCATCAACTACGGCACGGTGGCCGACGACCTCCCCTCGGCGTCGCGCTCCGTGCAGCTCCTCCGCGCGGCGGGCGCGGGCGCCGTGAAGATCTACGACGCCAACGCGGACATCCTGCGCGCGCTGGCCGGGACGGGGATGCCGGTCTCGATCATGGTGCCGAACTCGGCCATCCCGTCGCTGGCCTCCTCCCGCGCCGCCGCGGAGGACTGGGTGGCCGCCAACCTCGCGCCGCACGTCCCGGCGACGCGGGTGTCGCACCTGCTCGTCGGCAACGAGGTGCTCTCGAACCGCGCCATCGCGGGGTCCACGTGGCGCGGCGTCGTGCCGGCGATGGCGAACCTCCACCGCGCCCTCCGCGCGCACGGGATCCGCAAGGTGAAGCTCGGGACGACGCTCGCCATGGACGCGCTGTCGGCGTCGTACCCGCCATCCGCCGGGGCGTTCCGCGACGACATCGCCGAGGACGTGGTCCGGCCGCTGCTCCGGTTCCTCAACGCCACCCGCTCCTACTACTTCGTCGACGCGTACCCGTACTTCGCGTGGGCGGGCAACCGCAAGGCCATCTCCCTCGACTACGCGCTGTTCCAGGGCGCGGCGAGCTCGCGCTACGTGGACCCGGGCAACGGGCTCGCCTACACCAACCTCCTCGACCAGATGCTCGACGCGGTCGTCGCCGCCATGGGCAGGCTCGGGTACGGGGACGTGAAGCTGGCCGTCTCTGAGACCGGGTGGCCGAGCGGCGGCGACGCGGGCGAGGCCGGCGCCAACGTGCGCAACGCCGCCACGTACAACCGGAACCTGGCCGCGCGGATGTCCAAGAACCCCGGCACGCCGGCGCGGCCGGGGGCCAGGGTGCCGGTGTTCCTCTTCTCGCTCTACAACGAGGACCAGAAGCCGGGGGCGGGCAGCGAGCGCCACTGGGGGCTCTACTACCCGAACGGGAGCAGGGTGTACGACGTGGACCTCACCGGCCGGCGGTCGTCGTACCCGCCGCTGCCGCCCGCGGACGACATGGAGAGCACGCCGGCGTGGTGCGTGCTCGGCAAGGCGGCGAACGAGACGGCGGTGGCGGCCGCGGTGGCGTACGCGTGCCAGCAGGGAAGCGGGACGTGCGCTGCCATCCAGCCCGGCGGCGCGTGCCACGAGCCGGACACGATGGACGCGCACGCGAGCTACGCGTTCAACGCATACTGGCAGCAGTTCAGGCAGGCCGGCGGCACCTGCTTCTTCAATGGGCTCGCGGAGACCACCAGCAAGGATCCAAGTGAGTACGTCGTGCATATTTGATCTTTCTTTACTAGAGAAGAGATGTGCAGCTTCCTTCTGCATTTGATTTAATTCAGTCGCATTGATCTGTCGTCGTCGGCATTGTTATGTGTGTTTTGCAGGCCATGGATCATGCAAGTTCACCAGCTCTCTGGACTAGACGACGATGACGCGAAGGTGGAAGGCCATCGCCCGCCACATGCCACATTGGATTAGTTAGTGAGTAGGGAGGAAGGCCATCGCCATGGATGCCCAAGCCCTTAGGATCGTTACCATCTTCTGTTCTTTATGTAGGAAGTTAGCAAGCAAAGCATCACTGTAATTCGAGTCAGAGTTACACTGACGAACTGATCGATCGCGAGGAGGCAGCGCTCCTGCCTATTTCTCCTATATCAAAAAAACAAACAAACAAAACTACTCGCGTATTTTGTTCCCCGAGTTCACCGGCGGCGACGTATTTCGCTCCCCGAGTTCACCGGCGGTGAATTCTCGATCCGCCGCTTGCCCGCTTGGCGTAACCACTTGCAGCGTGATGTGGTGCATACGAGGCGGCGGACGGGCGGAGAGATCGGGAGCTCAGCGTCGGCAAATCCGCGGGTTTGTTTCGTTCTCTGACCATCTGACAGCCTTAAGGAAGCGTGCTCCAACAGAATGTCCCTCGCTCTGGGGTTTCTGGACCATCCGTACAGAAAGGGAACCTACGCTTTTTCGTGCTCCGGAAAGGATTGGTTAGAGATAACAAAGGGTTAAAATCTGATGGCCTGTGTATTGAAATTTACCCCATAAAAACTCATAACCGTGTGGTACAATTTCCTACCAAAGCTTGTATGTTGTGGAATGTGGATACCGTAGGGCCTTGTTTAGATTGGGGTTAGAAATCAGTATTTGATACTGTAACATTTTTGTTTGTATTTGACAATTATTGTCTAATCATGGTTTAACTAAGCTCAAAAGATTCGTCTCGTAATTTACAATTAAACTGTGTAATTAGTTATTTTTTTATTTATATTTAATACTCCATGCATGTATCAAAGATTGATAAAAAGAAAATAAAAAAACTTGCAATCTAATCTAAACGGGGCCTAGGTTCCTAACACTTAAAGTAATAACAATCACATGGTACGACTTAGGGCTCGTTTGAAATGAATCTTTTTCAAAGGAATCTTAAAGAAATGTGATTCCAGTATTTTGATAACTTCACTCGTTTGGATCTAAGGAATAAAACGCACGAGTCATAACGGTCCCGTTCGCTTTGAGGAATATGAAGAAATTTAAATAAATTTGGAGAAATTTATAATAAAAAAACACTATTTTAAATAAAAAAAGAAGTAGATCAAACCAGATTTAAAAACACGCTAACGGAACCAACATCCACAGAAGTTAATTTTTCCGCGGAAACCCGAGCACATGTACATGGAGAGAGAGGTGGTGCCATGATGGCATCCACAGCAGTGTTGTCAAACTCACAGCTGACATGGCCCTGGGCAGATGTAGATCTAGAGGTTAGAATTAATTAACGCAGAAACAAAAGCATACAAAGGGCTTGTTTAGATTCTAAGTTTTTTTACTCTTTCTCCATCATATTAAATCTTTGAACACATGTATAGAGTATTAAATATAGATAAAAATAATAAGTAATTACACAGTTTGATCGTAAATTACGAGACGAATCTTTTGAGTCTAGTTAGACCATGATTAAACAATAATTATCAAATACAAACAAAAATGCTACAATATCAAATACTGATTTCTAACCGCGAACTAAACAAGACCAAAAAGTCAATTTTTCGCGGAAGCCCAAGGAGCACGTGTACTCCCTCCGTACTGTACTGGTATTAGAAATCATTTAGAATATAATTATGCATACCAAAGAGTCATTAACTATAGATAAGTTTTCCCTATCTACTCCTATTAAATACAATTACGGTATGTTTCATATGAGAAACAAACCAAACAGAGGACTGGCTAGGCCAGCGTGGTGGGCACGGGGACCATCGTGGTGCAGGTCCGATCCCCTACCACGTCGTATTTTTTGCTTGTTTTTGTTTTGCATGTGTTTGCATGGCACTCTGCGGGATGTGCACGCTGGTGCCTGTGCGCGTCTTTTTCTGTTTTTTCGTCGATGGCGCGCTTCGTTTTTTTGCGTTTCGTTGAACGCGCGCTGGACGCCTAGCTGCGCGCTCGCTGGACGTTTTGCCGCACCAAGTTTTCCTTGTTTTCGCTAGACGCTCGGCTGCGACGACGATTGGGTTCCCGTTTGTATTTATACACCTGGCCGGCTGCAAATTAACAAGCACAAACAAAACACCCGCACAAATGGCCAGCTCACTTGCTACCTTCGATCTAAACGTGCCTGTACCGAAAGCTGAAGAAGGCAACGCTGGGTTAGACCTCAACGAGCCTGTACTGGAGGATGATAATGACATCGGTAAGTTTGCTTCCTTGCTTTTCGATTGAGCCTGTACTGAAAGATGATAATGTTTTTTTTTGAAATAGAGCATGTTGCCGAGGCTAATGTTCAAGTGCACCACCGAAGGAAAGAGATGTCAGAAGATTTGAGAAAGCAAGTTTATCAAGCGTTGTTGGCTAGAAGCAATAACGGGATACTCCACAAGAAAGATACCCAGATTATTGCTGATCGATTTGATCTGCACCTTCGGACAGTTCAGCGCATATAGAGGAGAGGTAAAACACATCTTGCAAACTATGTCCCGGTTGTGGTCTCTAATTTAAAAAAGGGTAGAGTTGGTCGTAAGGCAATTCCTATTGATTTGGAAACCTTGCGTGACATTCCTCTGAAGGAGAGGATGACCATACAAGATGTTTGTGCCAAACTAAACATTAGCAAATGGAAGGTGCAAAGGTATTTGAGAAGAGGTTTGCTAAGGCGCCATTCTAGTAGCATCAAGCCCTATCTCATTGAAGGAAATAAAAAGACTAGGTTAAAGTGGTGTATTGACATGATTGAGAGGGGGTTGAGTGGTGATCCAAGGTTTAAGGATTTTTTTGACTTTGTCTTCATTGATGAAAAATGGTTCTACCTCACCCAAAAATCTGAAAAGTATTACTTGCTCCCCGAAGAAGACGATCCACATAGGACTTGTAAGAACAAAAACTACATCCCTAGGCTCATGTTTTTGTGTGTTTGTGCTCGGCCGAGGTTTAGAGATGGGGAGTGCATTTTTTATGGTAGAATTGGATGTTTTCCTCTTGTCACTTATGAACCGGCTCAAAGAAGTAATGCAATAACCGGCCATGTCCGTGGAGATATGGTTATTGAAAGCTTTAGTTTGGTTTTGGTTAATTGATAAAACCCTAAGTGCTAACCTAGTTTATCAAAGTGATTATGAGATAGGTAACACTACTCCAAGTGACGAAGAAATGGCAAAGATCATGACGATGGTAATGGCATGGTGATGATCGAGACATTTAGCGAGTGTGATCACATTTAGGATAGATAACCGTACTATTAAGATGAGTGAAACTCGTATCGAAATACGGTTGTCAAAGTGCCACTAGATGTTCTAACTCATTGCATATGCATTTAGGATCTAGTGGATCACTAACACCCTTGAAAATGTTTGTGAAAATATGCTAACACATGTGCACAAGGTGATACACTTGGTGGCTAGCATATTTGAGCAAGGGTGAAGGAGATAGAGAAGAAAGGAACTCAGTCTCACTGTTTTCACTGTGATCGGACGCTGGTCTTGGGTGGACCGGTGCGTCCGGTCAGGCGTGGCAGAGAAGACGCCAGCGTCGGTCTTCTAACCGGACGCTGGGTCGCTCGGTGACCGGACGCTGAAGGGCTGCGTCCGGTCAAGTGGTCGATCTACACAGTGCTTAGGGTTAAGCACCGAACGCTGGGCTGTGTCCGGTCAAGATGACCAGACGCGTCAGGTCGATAAAAATCAGTTTTGGACCCTTACTGGAAACGACCGGATGCTGGGGGCTCAGCGTCCGGTCAACTGACCGGAGCGTCCGATCGGTCAAGGCAGATGACCGTTGGAATCAGACACGTGGCTGACTACGAGCGACCGGACGCTGGGGGCTCAGCGTCCGGTCAACTGACTGGAGCGTCCGGTCAGTCCGCGTTATGCCCAGTGAAGGGGTATAACGGCTATATTTCGTGGGGGCTTCTATTTAAGCCCCATGGCCGGCTATAGCTCACATCTTTGGCCATTTCCATTGACATAGCAACCTTGTGAGCTTAGCCAAAGCCCTCCCACTCATCTCCATCATTGATCCATCATCATTGTGAGATTGGGAGAGAATCCAAGTGCATTGCTTGAGGGATTGCATCTAGAGGCACTTGGCATTCGTGTTGCGCTGCGGATTTCGCTTGTTTCTCTTGGTGGTTGCCACCACCTAGACGGCTTGGAGCAGCGGTGGAGGATTGGCACGAGTTGGTGATTGTTCGTGGCCATCTCCGATGATTGTAAGGGGAGTTGTACCTTTCCCGGCGGAGTGCCAAAAGGTAACTCTAGTAATTTGCTCGTGTTATTGAGTTACCTCACTTGTGGGTCGGTTCTTGCGGTGTCCTATCGTGTGGACGAGGTTTGTGAAACACCTCTTAGCCGCCGAACCACCAAGTGTTGGTCGACACAATGGGGACGTAGCGTGTTGGCAAGCACGTGAACCTCAGGAGAAAATCGAGTGTCTCTTGTCTTTGGCATTCTCCCGGTGATTGGATATATATTCATCTTGTGATTGGTTCATCCCCTACACGGCGGTATAATCACCCTACTCACTTATTTACTTTCTTGCAAACTAGTTGATACAAGTTTTTTAGTGTAATTAGAATTGAGAGCTTGCTTCATTATTTACATTCATCTAGTTGAGCTCTTTAGAGTAGCAAGATTGAGAGCTCTTAGTGAGTAGTTACATAGCAAGTTTGTGTGCCTAAGTAATCATTGCAACTAGAATTGTTGGATAGGTGGCTTGCAACCCTTGTAGAGCTAGAGCAAGTTTGTATTACGCCATTTGTCATACTAATCAAATTGCTCTAGTTGATTTGTAGTTTTCAAATAGGCTATTCACCCCCCCTCTAGCCATATTAGGACCTTTCAAGTGGTATCAGAGCCGTGGTCACCATTTGTGTAAATGCTTAACAACCTCGGTGTCAAATTATGGCTCAAGTTGTGTTCAACCATGTGGAGG